CGAGGTCCTCGGACACCTCAGCGACGATCTATACAACAACAACAATTCCAAGGACTATACGTTATGCAGGAGTAGTAGAGTATTCACCTTAGGGTCCTTGAAATGAGTAACGGCCTGGACGATAGCACGAGCACGCTTCTCCGGGTTGTCTGACTTGAAGATACCAGAGCCAACGAATACACCATCAACACCGAGCTGCATGCAGAGAGCAGCATCAGCAGGAGTGGCAACACCACCAGCGGCGAAGTTGACCACAGGCAAACGACCAAGACTTCGGGTCTCCTCGATAAGGGAAAGGGGAGCACCAATCTGCTTGGCAAAGGTGAAGACCTCATCATCCTCCAGAGCTTGGAGGATGCGGATCTCCCTATTGACAGTTCGCATGTGACGGACAGCCTCGACAACATTACCTATAAGTAGAAGGTTTACGATACTGTCAACAATGGTTAGAGGTTTGCCTACCAGTGCCGGCCTCGCCCTTGGTTCGGATCATGCTGGCACCCTCGGCAATACGACGGAGAGCTTCACCGAGGTTACGGCACCCACATACGAAGGGAACCTTAAACCTGATGGACCAATAATAACAACACTAGAAGATTCGGGAGTACTTCATCTTGTTAATATGGTTATCCTCATCGGCGACAGTAAGGACCTCAGATTCATCAATATAATCGACACCTACGGCCTCAAGAACCTGTGAGCGAACTTCATCACACGCCCATGCTGGTTAGCTCTTGGACGTTACCTGAGCCTCGACGAAGTGGCCGATACGGCATTTAGCCATAACAGGGATCGACACAGCATCCATGATCTCCTTGATCATCTTGGGATCCGACATCCTAGCAACACCACCATCAGCACGGATATCAGCAGGGATACGCTCGAGTGCCATAACGGCAACAGCACCTATAATAAACGATAAACAAGAAGGATAATGGATGGGTAGGTCATACCAGCAGCCTCGGCAATTTTAGCTTGCTCAACAGTCATAACGTCCATAATGACACCTCCCTTCAACATCTGGGCAAGACCCTGCTTAACTTTGATGGTCCCTTCGGTAGAAGACATGATAAGAGCTTGAGTGGTAGCTATATAGTAAAACTAGAGAGATGACCGGTATGCTCGTGGTATTAATCGTTTTACCTCAGGCAAAGGTAAAAACCTTTATGAGCTTCACACGTTTAGAGTATAGTGAAAATGTTATAGAGTCTACAACTAACAGGAGTCGTATGTAACTGCAAGGTAGCAGTGATATTGGAAGCAGACTATGCCACCTCGTTATCTGGAAACTAGCAGTCAGACAGTATCCATATCCATATCGATTAGCCTGGCGCGCGCATTATACGTGAGACCCTGGCGCATTTTGAT